ACCATAGCCTAGATAAAAAGGTGACATACGTTTCCTATTCATAGACTCATATATAAAACCTACCGACAGTAGTAAATAAAGTTAGAAATAACCACGCTGCATTTGCTATAGGTAAATGTTGATAAGTATTCGTATAGTTACATGCTCGCAATGACCAACTTCCAATGCAAAACATTAACAAAACAAAGATAATCAAGCAAAATGTGGGTGATCGTTCGAGATAAGCTTTAATGATAAAGAAAAAATTGATTGGAACTTGATTCAGATAACCGAGTGATCGCGATGATGAATCTCGGAGAAAACGTGAATGAAAAGTAATTGCACGACACAATAAATATAATCGAGCGAACACTGTTTATATATCCGAAGAAATAATATATGTTTCAAACAGAAATTCTCTACTTACTGGGTAATCCAAGTGCGACGTCCTCGGGTATAAATGATAATGGGATCGAGGATGGCAGAGACAATGTAGCGTTGGCAGAGTTTATTTCAGATATGACATCATTATTGGCAGAAAATCCACGAGGAAATGGATGAATCGCACAGATCAATATTTCTACAATAATTTGGATAATTCTTGAACGAGTTAATGCCACATACCAATACTTAATTGAGTTATTCACACAATAAAGAGCCATATCTAAATAATGATAATAAATAATAAGAACAATCAGGATAATAGTGGATATTGTCATAATCAGTTTGATAAACCAACTGGCATATGTTTGACGATGATCGATAGAAACAAATGTTAGTTCATTTTCAGACATCATTAAAACAATGCCTAATGATGCAACAAAACACATAATATCGTTGACCAGAGAGCTACAACTCATAAAACATGTAAAAGCAAGATTATAGTAAATAGCTTACCATTTTTTATGTAATTGTTTGCGTTTGGTTAGTCGACAACTTATACCTGCTAATGTATCACTCGTTTCAGATCCTCGAGGTTTTCTCAGTTTCTGACGGCATCTTCCTTGAGAAATACTTCCATCATCCTTCATTAATGAGTCACCAGACCAAGAATTCGAAGAATTCATCATCAATGGTAACGCTATTTCCTCGCATGGTTCATTATAGTCCTTTCTTGTTCTTGTATTAGTGCTTAGCCGTATACATGGAATTTCGTCTGAAGCCATTTACTGACGAAATCACGCAATTGATGTGGTATTCTTCTGTGTTTTACTTAAAAGTCACAATCTAAAAGATGCCAATAGAAAGACTTTGTCGATTTAGTAGAATTACCGATTCCGATAATCCTTAAACAATGTGAATCAATATTTTATCACTTATGTGCCATTATTACAATAACTTGTGCTCTATTCAGCACAAAAATACCGTAATTTGAAATAATACATACCGATAAAAATGCGCATCATCTTAATATAATTGTCAATGAAGAAATAAATTGTTACATATTTATTTTTATCTTTTCTCTCATGTGACACATCGAAAATGTATAAAGAATAATAACGTGCCTTATCATAGTGTACAAAAATTGACAAGTTGCATTTTTTTTTTATCGTGACTTGTCGAATCAAACTTAACATACATGGACATTGAAGAGAAGAAAATTAATGAATCTATGCTTCCATGTTGCAATAACGTTGGTAGAGAAGATATTTCAGAATAATATGAATTATCGAAAAATTGAATATCAACATTTGTTTGCTCATGCACACTCAAATAATAGCAAAGGGAAGAATGAAAAAAAAACACCTTCTATTATCCATGTGCAAACAGTGTAGTAATTATCGAGCAGTTAATATATTTTTGTTTATAAACCCTGAATAAAACATGGCCAGGTAAGATTTTTTCTTCGGCCGTTGTTTTTATATGAAAGAAAAGAGTAGCAAATATTACTACAAAATTAGTCGTATTCAAAACAATATCATTGGTTGATTATGCAACTGAGTTGACGAAACAACGTTGAATGATCAAAGTTTCTTTATTTAATTGCAACCAAATATATTTTTCGTCTACATTGATCAGACAAATGCATAATATTGTGCTACAATACTAACTTAATCTGAGAAGGACAAATAAAATTCAAATTATTTTACTTGAAGAGTGCGACACTACATAGTGAGAATGTGTAGAAGATAGATTTCTGAAAAGTTATTTCGATAGTGATCATGTCATCATATAAAAATAGCCTGATCTACTTTTAAATACAATGAAAATAGTTTAGATACAAAATTACTTAAGAGACGATCTATCAGAATATCGAATATTAGTCAACAGGAATGTCCTCGTAAAAATTTCAACCCCTATATTTTTTGATTGTAAATAAAAGAGCATAGTCAACAATATATATAAATTCGATTTATCAGCTCATCTTAACTTGTTTCTGAAGAGTTTATAAAATAAACACTGAATGCACCCTGAACCGGTTTAAAAAATATTTTTTGCTAAATTCGATAAGTTAACATTTGGGCATTTTCTCCATAGTAAGTTATTAGAATCTTTTCCAGTAATATCTCATTTTGATAGAGCGAATTTCACTCTACAAAACTGTATATATGATCTTTCCTTCAACCTCCATTATGTAAATACCTCATTCTCAAACTTAATCGACCCTATTGTTTTTTTTTCGCATTGATTTCTTTCTTTTTTCAATTGCAAGCTGTATTTCGCAACTAATTATAATGGGTCCATAATTTTTTTTATCGATTTGCAGAGAACAAAGAATGAACTATCAAACGAATATAAAATAATTGAGACTTAAATAGCAACAAGCCTTCATGTGAGCCATAGAACATATTCTACCAAACTTTTAATAATCATATGTTTCATTATTTTTGTTATGTCATTCATGTACAAGTCAGATTTGAGTTTTCTCTCAACTAAGAATACACTTGAAATTTATTTTTCAGTATTAGAAAATGCATAAGACAGATTACACAAGTATTTTTGACAGTCATCCATATCAATTGATTAGTGGTTCTTGCAGAATATATGTAAGATAATCGATACATTGCATAGAGGTAATGATGCGTAAAAGTAAAGTCTTTGTGTTTGTAAGATTTTCAAGGTCTATATCACTTTTTTTATGTTGCAATTTCACTAACTATCAGTGTGATAAAAGAATATTTTGTTTTCTGTTGCTGAAAAATGACAATCATCAACAACAGAATATCATTACATAGGTATGCGGTTGCCGCAGCAAAAGTTAACTTTTGATTAAAAACTATTTTATTTCTTTTTTAGTAACCATATTAGATTTAAAGTTATTTCTTCAAGTTAATATCAAGCTGATCAAACTATTTCATATCACAACGAGGGATGAAAGATAAACTTCGTATGCGCTGAAGCACGACACTATAACTGATGAAAGTTGAGTTCCATTATTTCTCTTATTGAATATATCTTTTTTTAAAATGAAAGCATTCCTTCTGTTCGTATGCATCTTGAATCATAGTAACAAATAATCACATACATTGCATAAATAGTCTAAGGAAATATTTTTTCATGGAAATATTGTAAAGTCTGAGTGTCAATTGGTAAATAATGATGATAAAGTATGTCTCAATAAATATATGTTCTTTCAAATAATCACAGTAATCGCTATTTTCCGTACATTAGAGAGTACTTTCAGAAATTTCTTCTTTGTCTGAAAGATTTTTGAAAAGATACTCTATTCAAATTTAAACGAAATAATAAACTTCAATAGATCTCTCAAATACTTTCTCTGCATAATTTCTATTTTTATTTTTATTTTCTGTATTTCTTTTTGGCTTGTATTTATTTAAGCAATAAAAATATTCGAATGAGCAATAACTAAAATACGATTTAGCAATAATTTTTGAGCAAGAAGAAAACTTTATTTGAGCAATTTTATAATATTAAATGAACACTAAATAATTCATTAAATAGCATTAGTAGTTTCATATTTTAGCGACAAATGAGAGAAACCACACGATGGGTGTAGGTGGATGGCTGTGGGTGAAATGAATACTGATATACATACCCACGTAGGGATGCAACAAATCCTTTTTTTTTGTACAAAGATTGAAAATTTTCTCAGTAGGGATGCAACAAATCCAATCAAATCTTCGTGCCAATTATAATCAGTTTTAATCGCTCTTCCTGATACTGGTATTTATTTGCCAAATTCCTACCAAATCTTGCGTAAGGTTTGGCAGGATTTGGTGAAAATGGCGATATATTTAACAAATCCCATCAAATCTTACGCAAGATTTAGTAGAGATTTGGTAAATAAATACCAGTATCAGAAAGAGCGTTTAAAACTGATTATAATTGACACGAAGATTTGGTTGGATTTGTTGCATCCCTACACTCATGCCACCTATATCCATCCCACACCTATATTGTGCTACGTGTTGCGATTGAGATATTTGTATAAATTATCTATTCTATTTCATAAAATTGAAAAAATACCTATTCTTATAAATAAATGAATCAATATTGCCCTTTTTCTATACAATTTATTTTTTATTTAAATGAATTATTGCTCATTGAACATAGTTATTGTTCATTCAATTTAATTATTGCCAAATTTGCTTATTGCTCATTTAAGTTATTTTATTGCTCAATTAAATATAAGTCTTTTTTTTTCAGATAGAAATATGTGAAAATAGTGTTTCTTTTTTAATCAAGGTATCTGCGGTAGTGACATCATATCTTTAAAGGATCTTGAGGGTATGGGTGTCGGTGTGGAACTGAGTGTTGGTTAGGAAAAGAGAATTCCACACCTATCCCTTACCCACACTCACACCGGTAACCCATAAAAGCTCGGCCAGGTACTATTTTGTCCTCCATGGCATACGATTAGGCTTCCACCAGGCTCATTAACACATTTGATGTGGATAATGTGAGTTTGTCCCACCCATGCATGAGCTATAAGCTCGCTATGGTCTCACTAGAGTGGTGTTTGATTGCGTGTGTGAATAGAATAGCTGTTTCTATCGCCAATTCAACGTGATTTATTTGAAGAAAAGAAAAGAAAAAACTAATAATCCATCGAAATGAGTCTATCTGATAGAAAATCGTTGAACTCGATTATTCTCCCACTCGGCAACATAGAGATTGCCATATCGATCGAAGGCCAAACCCGTGGGCCGATTCAACTGCCTTGTTCCTTCTCCTTCGCCATTTCCACCCACAATAACTGTGCCCTTCGTCGCTCCTTTAGACCAGCGCGTTACCCGATGATTTCCATACTCTGCCACGTAGAGAGTACCCAATGCATCGACGAACAGTCCATGAGGCCAGTACAATTGTGTCAGAGCACTTCCAGAACCGTGACCACCAGCAACAACAATCCCTTCTTTTGCACCTTTATCCCATTTCATCACACGATGATTCTGGCTGTCTGATACGTAGACGGCCTGTTGTTCATCGACAAAGATGTAGCCAGCATAGTTGAATTGATTGAGACCATCACCTTGTTCATGACCTCCAGCAACAGAAGTTCCATTTTTGTCTCCTATTTGATATCGTCTTACTTCATGCCTGTCGTCGTCAGAGACGTAGAGATATCTCTGATCATCCATAGCCAATCCTATACACATGATTTTGTCCACGAGAATTTCTCCTTGAGCTGTACTACTACTACGAGACAATCGTAGAACTCGTCGATTCCATCGATCACAGATAATAAGACTATTCGTCTCTTCGTCGATCAACACGTCGGTTGGACTATGTAATTGATCCAGTCGACTTCCTTGACCATGGCTCCCAGCTACCACCTGTCCGTGGGTATCATACATCTTCCATTCGATGACTCGATGATTCCAGGAATCAGTGATGACTATCGTTTGATTATCATCGACGGCGAGACCTTGAGGTTTCTTAAGTTGATTGGTATCATTGCCAAATCCATGGCCTCCAGCAACAGTCAATCCATCCTGTGCCCATTGGGCATTGGCTGGAATATTAGGAATTACTACGATGAACGAGAAAATGAAAAAGAATAATCATCATCATGACCTACGAATAAGACATTTCTTTTCTTCAAAGAGAATATGGCTAAACTTTCGAGAATGCCCCTCCCTAACATATCCTAATCAAGATAAGGTTCTCTTCAGCAGATATAAATTGGGCAACCTTTTCTTGGTTTGATTTGGAAAAAAGGGACTTCTTAATGATTCTTATAAGAATTCGTGTTTGAAGGAACTTATTCAAATTCTTGCCAAGATATATTGGATCCTAAAAAGTAGCATTTTCCAAAAGAGAATGAAACTTGCACTTTGAAATTGCTCGAAAGAAGTGTTTTCGGAACAAGCATTCTCGAAACACTGAGAAAAATAATGCTAATCCTATCGAAGCTCTATATATGGAGATATAGGAATCTGAGGATTTTATTCCCAGTTTGCCATAAAGAATCTTATCGATAAGTATCAAAAACGGTTCCAGCAAGCATAATGCCTTAAAGAGTTTGTGTTTAAACAATAAAATAAAGAACATTGTTGCATTCCTAAACTGAAACAACTGTGAGAAGATTCTATCAAGATCTTGTTAGGAGAATCTCAAGAATGAGTATTTGCACTCCTTGAAAAGCAAATGTGGATGTAGGTGTGGGTATGCATTCATCTTAGCTTAAGGGTAACTATTAAATGCTTTTTTTTATGGCAGAGTTCGAACCACTTATGATATAAGATCGTTGGCTTTATCAATATAATCCTTTATCTAGCTGCAGAGTCATATTGTATAAAAAGTAATTAGATACGCTTGAGTAAAAATTAGCATTTGTCAAGATTAAGAAACGTTAATATACTGCTTACCTTGTTGCTGAGTAGTGGTTGTAGTTGTAGTTGTAGTTGCGGTTGTAGTTGTCGTTGGAATCGTAGTGGTAGTGTTCATCGCTATTCATTATCATAGAATGTTTGTATAAACAAAGCACATGGTTTTAAGTGAAGCCCAAGTAGTATTTCAAAGTGAAGCGACGATCTCAAATGATCTGTGGAGGGATTTTCTTTTGTGACATTCACTTTTAATAAGAAACTTTTGTGTTCATTAGAGATCGAAAGCAAAAGTCAAAGTTTTGACGATTTAATTCGACGTGGTTCGATTGAATCGAACTGAATAGGTCAAGATCGTTAGATGGACTGCATCTACTTTGTTGGTTTTGATAAATCTTGAGAACAGAGCAGACACTCACAAAACGTCCAAAAGTAGTCTCGTCTAGAGTCTCATATATTATTTGTCTGTTTCGTATCGCATCTAACAAACAGCTTATGCATGTATTTCGAGGCTAAAATGAATGCTTGTCATGCTCAAATTTATCGCTTCTGTTGTACTCTAAATACGAGCAAAATATTCGAAAAGCACTGACTGCCGTTGCAGTATAAAGTTGTTATTCAAATTATAAAATTTGGGATTTCAATCTCTTACATAAATTACTTATATGTCGTCAAACAGTTGAATATTTACGTTGTTTTCTTAAGAAAGAAATCTCAAATGTTTGATACAAGTAGACATAGCCCCAAAATAAGTAGTCATACCAAGGTCAGTTCTCCAAAATATACTCTGCGCTTATTAGTATTTTACTGTCGTGATTGAGTGAGTAGTGCTACAAGCTGTGCAATATAATTTACACACATAGTTAAATTACTGAGCATTAATGGCATATTCATTCAATTCGATGGATAAACCTTTCTTGAGCTCTAAAGATTACTGCGTCACAGTTAAATGATCAAGTCGCAATTTCGCACGGTTAGTTTTCAAGCTAGATATCGATCATAGTTGTTTTGAAAAAAACGACTGTCGAAGGAACTTAATATTCAAAAGAACCGACACATGATGCATCCTTCAAAATCGAATCGAATGATCAATTTTTCATATTTGTTTCGATCTCTGATGTACGTTACAAAATTCACAGCGTATTCATGCATTACTCGATATAAATGTAACAGGCTTTGTATTTGGAATTCATAGATATGATCCATTAAATGAAATGAAAGCTTTTCTTCAATAATTACAATTCATTTTGTCTCTTTCATGTTGTACCTACTTTTTTCAAAAGACCTTCGACTCTTCCCTACCGCTCCTATATCAACATGAATTACATATATGAGGATAAGGAACGATGAAGAAATAGCTTTGAAGAGGATTTGGTTTTCAGTTGAATTTTTAGATCACTTTTTTGTTCTCTTACTTGCTTTGGGTGGACAAAGTTGTTGATTGAAACTTGGCACTGGATAACAAACAGGAAGGTTATGACAACGAGGATGGTAAACACATCTATGGTTAGGCTCGTCACAACGGTTGTCGGAACGTTCGCATGCCACTAGCTCAGAACAATCTACGAATTCATCGCTACAAATACCAATATCAATAGCACCTGCTATGTAGAAACAGGCACATGCACTATTTGGCGAACATCGATCATATTGGGACATTCCATGACAGAATTGCGATTTCACACGAACTACCGATATACTAAATTAGTAAAAGAACATGAAATACGAAAGAGAAATCAAACCGGTGAGGCTTAAAAGAAAGATTATTTCACATTAGATGAATGGAAAGAATAGATTTTAGAATTACCTGAATAGAACCAATACAACACAACGAATTACTGTTGAAACCATCGTTTGCGTTAAAATTCGACAGAATGGTAGTATCACCTATATTTATATCTAATGAATAGGTAATGCTTTTCGTATATGCCGGATTTGAAGAAGCCCATGGCATAGTCTTTCGTTTAATAGAAATTCGATATTGCTTCAAAGCTTGCTTAAGCACTTAATTTTCTTCGAAAAATTAATTTTTTGTAGAAAACAAAATCGTGATAAAAGTAAAAATCGATTGCTGTTGGAATGCAAGCATTCAATATGCTGTTGTCACCATTTGAAAAATGAGTATTGTTATTGTCATTTATTGAATCACTAAGTAACAATGACTTAAAACAACTTCAAGGACAAATTTTGTTTTCAATTTATCTATTTTTATTATAAACACCTTACTGAAGTTTGCATCTTGCTCAAATTAAAGTCGCAGTCTGTAGTCAATCACATTTATTTGTACTTTATGCTGTGTTTTCGTTGCATCTCCAGAGCTTATATGTTCAATGTTCATCTCGAAATTTCATTTTTGACATAAACATGCCCAGTTTAAGAAGCGATCTTGTATGAAAATGGTGGCGTGATTATAAGTGCAGTAAAAGCTGGGATTGTTCTCGAGTAAATAAGGTATTTCAACAGTGAAACAGATTTTTTCGCTTTCTCTGTAAAACCTTTTTCTGGTAGCTTACTCCCTCCTGTGAAGAATTTTCAGCCATGGAATTATTCGAAAACGATCTCTCCAATAAAATTCCCACGCTCAACCGATTCAGTTATGTTCGACTTTAGATTACAGAATCATTTTTCCTTTAATCTTGCTATCATCATTCTTGTTGTTATCATTGACTATTAAACAAAGGTGAATTCAAGATCTGCGTTGATATGGATGCGCCAGCCATTATGAGTGAGGACTTTTCTATAGTTTTACATCTGCATGACAACCAGAATTCCTCTTCTGAAGCTTTTTGCTTTTCTTCTGTCTAGTTTCTTTGAGATTAGAGAGCTTTTGCTATCATCCTGAGACGTAAGCTAGTATTTTGAAGTTATTCCGAACGGCTGCCGTCATAATCACTTCACTAAATATGTAGCTGTCCGTTCTCCATATTTTGTGCAACAAATAAGCTTTCGCCTCCATATCTAGGTATTTATCGAAAGGTTAAGTGTTTGACGTAACATTCATCGACTCCCTTTTATACTTGCATCAACATTTCATAAGTATTTTTGTATAATTTAAACACAATTCATGGTGCTCGCTTACATCGTGTGTTGGGTACTTTTGAAAATCCTCTTTAAATATATTATGAATATGCCTATTTTCCATATTTACATGAAATCAAAATAATCAATTTTTTTTTTGGTTTAGAGTTCTGGATAAGAGTGAAACTTTATCTGATCAGATTTGTTTTAGGCGATTTCTGAACTGAGAAAAGCGAGATTTAGTGCCGTAAACTAACAGTGTTTGGCATATTCTAACCTCGTCTGTAGTTCAATGATCATAAAAAATGAATCGAAGGAAATTTCAAAATTCTGTCTGATGAAAAACTGTGCATCAGTATTGACTTTAATTGGAATTTAGCCCGAGCTCTGTGCATCTCTCGTAGCAACAAAGTTAGAACTATTCTCCCAAAGATCAAAAATGAACTATAAATAAGTGGACAATCCGATGTAGATTGACATATCGCACGAAAATTTTTACAAGAGGCGTTTCTCACTACCATTACTCATTCATGAAAATTTCGGCTCAAATGCATCATCCTCAGTGGTAAACCCATTGTGAGAGGAAACACCTTCAAAATAATTGGATGTTATCTTGATAACATGATTAACTGAATATTATGTTTAGATGTAGAATGATATCTATTAAAACGACAGGGTGTAAGGTTGAAAGTGAAGAAAAGGTTCACATCTACTTATACATTACCAATAAATGTTTTCGACAACGTTATTGAATTTTATTTTAATATCACATTCAGATGTTCTAACTTGAATGGATTCAATTATAGATGATATTTCATTTTAATAAATTGTGCTAATATTAATGCTTTGTTTAATAGATTTTCTATTAATATTGCTCTTTTTTCCTGCTTAATTTTCAGTTGCTTATCGTTCCGGTTCTTATTTTCACTATTTCATTGCATCTATGTGGAATGAAATCCTACTTCATGTTGACTTGTTTAACACGTCAACAGAAAACAAATCATAAAGGTTTTTTTTCCAACTTCGAAAGAAAAAAGAAACTAAAGTAAATATTGATCATTCATCACACACCATACTTTAAATTCTTTTTGCTTTGATGATAAGAATTCAGAAAAAGGAATACAATGTGCAATATTGACAGAATAGATGTAAAGTAACCAGTATATTTAATGTATCGAAAAGTATTCTTTCAGTTATAAACTGTTCAAATAGCATCTGTTCGTCGGGAAAAAAAGCTGTCCTGACCGCTAATCTCTCTGCTAAACAAAGCTTTGGACACTTCATTAATTTCAATACTAAAAACAGTAAGTGAAGAAAAAAGACGTGGAACTAATCAAAATCATATCATATAAAGTAAAGTAAAACAAAAAAGTCCAAGAATTTTAAAAAAATGTGTTTCTTTAGTTATGCTTGATAATATGTTTTCATATCTTTAAAAAAAGGAAATATATTAACGAGGATATTAATAAACTTCATTCTTAAATCCAGAAGATAAAAATACGTTAGTAATTTTATATGGGCTCTTTTATCCGTAGTTTTATAATCGCCAAAGGAAAGGCTACAAAACTATATCAAGACGCTGTTCCTAATTACTATCAATATGATATCCAAATCATCGGAACACAATTTACCATCTCATTTTTTTCAACAAATAATTCGAAAAATGTAAATTTTTGTACTATTTTGATGGAAAAGTCACTTTTTTAACGTAGGAGAAAAAAATCAATTCTTTGAAAACTTTTGACTAAACCTATAGGAAAGTAGTTAGAAAAATCCTTCTATCTATAATTCGATGCGTCTTCATCTGCTCTTTCTAGCAGTGAAAACCGAAGATCTCTATCTCGTTCCTATTAAAAGTTATTCAAAAAATGTCCACGGCCATTTAACTCTGAAATGGATATTAGAAAAGCATCTCATTTCACTTCATGTATCTATGAGAAAAGACTTGCAAATAATGTTGAGTAGAAGAAAAAAAATAAATTACTTGCTTTCTTACAAGGATAATTTTATACACGATTTAGTTTTCCTTGAACATATGTTTGATGAAAAAAAAGACAGAAACATGTACTAACCCACCCACACCTACATCCTTTCTCATGTGCA